GGAGGACAATGGAAAAAGGGAAAAGGTGATCAAAAATGGAAGAAGCTTAGTAAAGTGCCATTCAAAAATCATGCAATAACGATGCATGCTTCTTTTGCAAGAAAAAGGGTCACATGAAGAAAGATTGCCCTAAGTATAAGAAATGGCTCGAGAAGAAATGTAATCTCATATCTTTTGTGTGTTATGAATCTAATTTTGGTAATGCTCATCAATATGATTGGTGGATTGATTTGGGTTCTACAATTCACATTGCTAATACCATGTAGTGTTTCCTCAACCTAAGGAAACTGACTGGAAGTGAACAAGGCATCTATTCGGGCAACGAGATGTGTTCGCACGTCGAAGTTGTTGGAACTTTCAGACTTATTTTAAAGAATGGCTTTGTTCTGAATTTTGAAAACACTTTCTATATTCTATCATTTTCTAAAAAAAATTAATTTCTATTTCTAGACTAGTACTGTTTAGATTTGAATTTCAGTTTGTTGGTTCAAATTTTAGCTGGTTTAAAGACTCTGTTTCCATAGGATTTGGTACTTTAATTAATGGTTTGTACAAATTAAAGTTGGATCCTGTTTTTGCACAAGTCTTTTAACCTTGCATGGTGATATTGACATTAAGTATATTATTGTTGATGAGTCCTCCTTTACACTTTGGCATAGAAGATTGGGACATATCTCTGTGGAGAGAATAAAGAGGTTGGTTAATGATAAAGTCCTTCAAAATCTTGATTTTACCAACTTTGGTATTTGTGTGGACTGTATAAAGGGAAAGCAGACTAACAAAACCATTAAAAGTGCCAAAAGGAGTGAAGAAATTATGGAAATCATACACAGTTATATGTGTGAAACATTTACTTCACTTTGTCTGAATGGTCAGAGATATTATCTCATTTATTGATGACCATACATGATATATGTATCTCTACCTCTTGTTTGATAAGGCCGAGGCACTTGATGCCTTTAAAGTTTATAAAGCAGAGGTAAAGAAACAAACAGAAAAGAAAATTAAAATTGTGAAGTCTGACAGGGATGAAGAATATTATGGGAGGTACACAGAATCGGGACAATTACCAGGTCCATTTGCTAAGTTCCTTAAGGAAGAAGGCATTATTGCACAATATTCAATGCCTGACACACCACAACAAAATGGTGTTGTTGAAAGAAAGAACCGAACACTTATGGACATGGTAAGAAGCATGCTTAGTTATTCTAATATGCCTATAAATTTGTGGAGTGAAGTGTTGAAAACCGTTATGTATATCTTAAACAGGGTCCTGTTCAAGGTTGTTCCCAAAGCACCATTTGAGTTATGGAAAGATGGAAGCCAAGTTTAAGACACTTACATGTTTGGGGTTGTCTAGTTGAAGTGAGGGCGTATAATCCACAAAAATTAGACCCTAGAACAATTAGTGGTTTTTTCATAGGCTATGCGGAAAACTCCAAGGGATACATATTTTATTGTCTTTCAAATTCACTTAGAATTGTTGAAGCCAGAAATGCTAAGTTTATTGAGGAAGTTGACCTTAGTGAGAGTTATTGTTAAAAGATAGAGTGGGAGGAATCATGGGATCTAGATACAACACCCGTGAATATAGGTAAATTGGTTGTCTTTCAAGATAATCAACCTGGTATCCTTGAAGATCAACAAATTCAGGAACTTTCACCACAAGAGGAACAAGTCAACATAGAGCCTGTTGTTCAAGTCCCAATTGAGACTACAGAATTGAGGAGATCCTTATGAGTTAGAAAGTCAGTAATTTCTGGTGATTATTTTGTATACTTAATGGAGTCTGATTTTGACATCAAACCTAAGGATGATCTTATTTCGTTTCCCATTGCCATGAATATGGATGATTCTAAATCATGGTTTGATGCCACGAAGGAAGAGTTGGAATCTATGGCTAAGAATCAAGTTTGGAAAATTGTCGAGTTGCCTAAGAGAGTTAAAGTTATTGGCTGTAAATGGGTCTATAAGATCAAGAAAGACTCAAATGGCAATGTTGAATGATATAAGGCTAGACTTGTAGCCAAGGGTTTTATTCAAAGAGAAGGCATCGATTATCATAACACCTTCTCTTCGGTTTCAAAGAAAGATTCATTTAGAATTATCATAGCATTAGTAGCTTATTTTGATTTAGAGCTACATCATATGGATGTGAAAACGACATTTTTAAATGGGGATCTTGAGGAAGAAGTATACATGAACTAAAACAAGCTTCCCGATAGTGGTATTTAAAGTTCCACAATGTTATTACTTCATATGGTTTTACGGAGAACGTTGTGGACAACTATATATACCTTAAGGTTAGTGGGAGCAAGTACATTTTTCTAGTTCTATATATAGATGACATTTTACTTTCATCTAATGATTTGGGTTTGTTGCATGATACTAAATAATTTCTTTCCCAAAACTTTGAAATAAAGGATATGAGTGAAGCTTCTTATGTCATTGGCATAGCGAGTCATAGAGACAGGTCCAAAAGGACATTAGGATTGTGTCATAAAGCCTACATTGAAAGAGTTTTGGAGAAATTCAGGATGAGGGATTGCACTCCTAATACAACACCCATTTCAAGGGGTGACAAATTCAGTTTAAGTCAATGTTCGAATAATGATTTGGAAAAGGAACAAATGGTTAACATTTCCTATGCGTCTACCGTAGGCAGTTTAATGCATGCTCTGGTTTGTACACAACCTAACATTGCATTTGCAGTTGGGATTCTTGGAAGATACTAAAGCAATCTATGAATGGAACATTGGAAGGCTGTAAAGGAAGTCATGAGGTATTTAAAGGAAACCAAGAACTACATGCTTATTTACAAGCATGTTGACTATCTTGAAGTGGTTGGATATTTAAACTCGGATTTTACAGGTTGTCAAGATTCTAGAAATCCACTTTAGAATATGTCTATTTGCTAGCAGGCAGTGCTATTTCATGGAAAAGAGTGAAAGAGACAATAATTGTATCGTCAACAATGGAAGCAGAGTTTATAGCATGCTTTGAAGCAACATCACAGGCTATTTGGTTAAGAAATTTTATCACAGGGCTTTGAATTATGGAATTAATTTCTAGGCCATTAAGAGTTTACTATGATAATTCGGCTGCAGTTTTCTTTTCTAACAACAACAAAAGTGGCAGTTGAAGCTAGTATATTGACATAAAGTTTCTTGCTGTTTGAGATCGTGTTAAGAAGGAAAAAGTCAGCATTGAGCATATTAATACCGATACGATGGTTGCAGATCTCATGACCAAAGGTCTTTCTGTAAAGGTGTTTTCAAAACACGTAGAGAGCATGAGACTGATTGGTTAGCTCAATTTTTCTAATTGTTGTTTCGTTTTGTTATGACATTTTGATTATTATTAATGAAAAATATCATTTTGTGCACTTAAAGTATTTATGATGTTATGCAGTCTATTGGGACTATTGATCCATAGGGACTATTGATCCATAGGGATCATTGGACCTAGAATAACTTATTAGAAGTTATTCATAAAGAATGACATCACATAACGTTAAGAGAATCATACAATGTAATACATGGAAGGAAATACTCATTTGACAGAGTATAATTGCCATGATTCGTGTATTATGTCTCTTTATAAAGTTTGGGTATTTTTATTTAATGGCCATAATCAGTTTGTTAGTTACATGAAAATCATCAAATGTATCATGTGTGCCAAGTGGGAGAATGTAAGTATATCCATAAAATGGCACATATACCACATGTTTTATTTATATTTTTATATAAACATTATATATATATATATTTTAATCAATAAAGATTTGGGTAACTAACATGAAATATGTCCACTATTCCATAAAGTAGTTTCATGGGAAGTTATGAAGAGTTACACTTAGATCATGGGTCCAAGCAAGGTTGTGAAAAGCGGTTGCGGTCGCTGTAACGGTGGCGGTGGTGTGGTTGCAGTTGCGGGGTGTAAAGGCCGTAGCGTAATGATTGTGGTAATCGGAATCGAGAATTTTTTTAATTTCGTACAATTTGAAAAAAACTTACCGATACGCATATTTTTTTTCCATGATCATATTTATTGCGTTTTAAAATAAATATTGATCAATTTTTACAAATTTTTAAGTATGATCTAATATATTTCATATTTTAAATCACTATAAACTGAGCTTTTTATATTTTAGTTTAATAATTAATGACTTTATATTATACAAAAAATCAATCATTAACTATTATATATAAGATAAACAATAACAAAAGTAAGAAAATAAATGAGAGTCTAAATATATATATATATATTTTAATCAAGCCAAATAGATAATGATCACACTTACTATTATTATTATTTTTATTTTCAAACAATATATAAACAGACATACACAAATAAAATGATTGAATAATAGCAACTGAATAGAATAGCATAGATTTTACAGCTTCAACAAATTAATAACATGCTTTTCATCTTCCCTCTTCTCTCTCCCTATCTTTTGCTCCTCCATCTTCCCTCTTCTCTCTCTATCCCTCTTCCCCCATTTTCAGCTTTTGTTTTTTGCATTTTTTTCGAAAGAAGTAGTTTAGAATGGTTATGTAACAGCGTAACAGGCCGTTACGGCATCGTTACAACTGCTACAGAGCCGCTACGGCCGACACACCTGTGAATCTCAATCATACTGCAAAAGCGGCAGTAATGGGTGGCGGTAACCACCATAACCGTTACGTAACGGCATTACATAACGGTTGTGGCTGCTTTTTAAAACCTTGGGTCCAAGCTTATCTATATATGCTTGTGATAGCTATCAAAACACAGATGTTGTTTTGTGAATAGAATAAGCTTAAAACTCCATTCCTTCCACTTTTCCATATGGTTGTGTGAAAGTGTTTTGTGAGTGGTTTTGGTTATACATTCAAGACCTGATCAATCAAGAACAAGATTCAAAGGCTTGAGCATCATAGCAGGAGGTATTCTTTCTTGTTGAATTATTTTAGTTGTCACATTATCAGCCTCTGAATTGTTTCTTAAGAAATGAGATATGTTTCCTTTCCTCTTCCAAAAGGATGTGTAAATTATAAATTGCTTTTCAAGCTCACATTGTTCAAACAATACATGACCCCTCAAAGTTGTAAATATGCTCAGAATGGCCGTCCATACAAATCTATTGAACATTACCAGTGTTACATGAAGTTGCTTCCAAATGCCTCTATAAGTCCATATTCACGCTGTAATTGCATAGCACTTGAAAACTCTAAATTTAAGGGTTTAAAAAAAAAAATCACTAATGGAACAAAATATGTTGAAGACCACCATTTGGGAAGTGTTTCATTGAAGACCATAAACAAGTAGTGCTCCAACAGCACCAACACCTGCCACGAGCCCAATAACAACCCCAATCGGAGGTAGTCCCCCGCCAATTGCCTTTCCAGTGTTCACGTCATACCCTGCGAACCTCTTCTTTGGTGCTCTGCATTGTGGGCATACATAGTCATCCGGCTGCATCCAAATACGCCAAAAACGTTATTAAGTAAATAAATAAATTCATCTAGACTTAGACTACAAACCGATGGAAGAATGACAATAAGGTTTTTCATTGTTTAGCAAAAACAATCATAGCGGATTAATTTACCTTGATACCAACCAATTACTATGTAAATCAGGTGTTTAATAATGTTTTAAATCCATTAATAGCCCAAACAGGCATAAAACACGAACAAGTGACAGAACCATTTCCTTTTTTCTTTTTCTCTTTTTGTTTTAAAAAAAAAATATATAATTTGCCAGTTGGGTGGGGGAGGAGGCTATTTTTAGAACTGAATGTGGCTGAGATGTTGAGAACTGATCAAACTCCAGCTGTGGTACCCCTAGGAAGATTATTCTTCTAACAAAATAAAGAGATAAACTTGCCTGCTCCTCAAAAGGCTTTTGTAAGGTGTATATGAATCCGCAATCAAGACATATGTGCGTTGCTCGGGCCTGAAACATGTAGAACCCCAATTATGTTTGGATGCACAACACATACAAAATCCATTTCGGAAAAATATATGAAGAAACAAAACAGAGCAAAAAGTCCTATGATGCCACAATGAGCCTTTCCTTTTGAGATTCAGTTAACTTCCGCCCAAAACGAGGAGGAGCTGGGCGCTTTGGTAGTCTTTTAACATCTACATCAGCGCCTCTGCATCACAAGTCAGATCTAATAATTGTTAGGACTTGGTATGAGCCTTCCTCCTTGAAGAAATATGAAACCGGTTAATTATCAGTTTTGATTGCATTAGAGATTGTTAAAATGTAAACGGGAACAAGTAATTTGGTCACAAGCAATTGAAAATATGCATATGCGTAAAGACTAGTATCATATAATTCAATAATGTGACTAAAGGACACATATTAACTGTAAAATAAATTGATAGAGAGATGTAAAATAAATTGATAGTATTATTGATTGATGTATATTGATTGATGTGTATATATTTTGTACAAAAATTCCTATTATATAGGAGATGATTTGGGAGTAGGTGAGGAGTGAGTAGGTGGAGTGGGTGAGTGTGTGTGGTAGGTGGTAGTGGTAGGTTAGGTGAGGAGTAGGTGAGGAGGTGAGTGTGTGTGGTAGGTGGTAGTGGTAGGTTAATACAATTTACATTAACAGCCCCCCTCAAACTCAAGGAGGATAGGTACTAGCCAACTTGAGTTTGAAGAGAATAACAAAACAGAAAAAATAAGTTGACAAATAAAATTAAAAATGGGATAGGAGACACTGTGTGGTCGTGTCAGACCGTTGTAGAAGACAGTTTATGGGGTCATGTCGGACCGTTGTAGAAGACAGTTTACGGGGTCATGTCGGACCGTTGTAGCAGACACTGTGTGGTCGTGTCAGACCGATGTAGAAGACAGTTTATGGGGTCATGTCAGACCGGTGTAGCAGAGGTTGTGGTGGTGCACAGTGCGCCATGAGCGACTTATACATGATACAGAGGTTGTGGTGGTGCACAGTGCGCCATGAGCGACTTATACATGATACTGTGTATAACCCCCCTTCAAACTCAAATAGGTGTGAAGATAGAAACCTATTTGAGGTTGAAAAGAGATTGATAAAGCTGACTGGTGTAGAAGACACTGTATGAGTGTGTATATAGGTTGCCCAAAAGATATACATGGATGTAGATATCGAGCCCTCAAAAGTCGTACCCTCAAAAGGTGTGCCCAATCTTTCAAAAGGCGTGCCATCAAAAGGCGTGCCCAGTTTGTCTGGCGTCAAGAGGCGCGCGATGCGCGTGGCTGCCTCGGCTATTTAACCAAGACGGAGCCTGAGGTCAAGGCAGAGGCAAAAAACCTGCGAAATCCTCTGAAAAACTCTTCGTTGTGCTGAGAGAGATAGTCTGTAACACTCTGTTGCGAGAGATATTCTGTAACACTCTGTTGCCGCTGACTCTCTTTCCCGACCTCAACGAGTCAACAAGAGAGATAACGGGTGTGGTGGCCAGTGAAACTCAACCAAGCGCTTCCGGTTTTGCTCCGTTGAACTTTCCGATGCGGTCTGTGGAGAAAAAATGGCGGTGCAGTCGGATGTGGAGGCCAATCAGTATACGTTGAAGTCATGTGTGGAAACCATGACTGCGGTTACAAATTTGTCGAACTGGCTGCAGAGTATGACAAATGAGGTGCAGCAGTTAAACGCCCAACTGGCTCTGCTCCAGCGCATGTATAAGGATGCGCGAGCAGAGATAAGTGTGCTAAAGGCAGAAAACAAGGAGCTGAAACGGAAGGCCACCGTTATGTTCCGATTTGGAGGGCCGCCATATGCTGCAGTGGAGGAGCAGGGAGTAGTGATCGTGCCCAGTGGAGTGGGAAACACGGAGGCAACACCGACAAGGGCCCCTGTAAGATAAATTGATAGAGAGAGAAATATAAAGAGAATAAATTGTATTGTATTTTTTTTTTTTTTTATTTTTTTTTTTTTTTTTTTGTTTTTTTTTATTTTTTTTGTGTAAAATGGTGATCGGGGAGGATCCCTGAGATGAATAAAATATAGTTTGGTGTGCAAAGCTATATGGTATGAATGGAATTGAAAAAAAAAGATTAAAAATAATGTGAAAGAAAAATAAAGAAAAAAAAATAATAAAAAATATATTTGAAATCAAAAAATGAAAGATGGGGGAAATAAGGAAAGTGGTGGGGAGAAAATAAATAAAAATAATGGAGTTGGAAATCAAACGGAGGTTGTTTTTATTTTTCATATGTTTTTGTTTTTTAATCTTTACCATGGGTTGATCTACATGAAAATATAAGAACAAATACATATATTTGCCTTTAAACCGAACAGATTTATATATAAGAACAGATATATATCTGCCCCAAATGTGTGAAATGTAACCGTAATGAACTCAAACCGAACAGATTTTATAGATTTTCATATAAGAACAGGTATATAAATAAGAACAGATATATATTAATATATATATATATATATATATATATATAATAAAGAAAGTGGGGAACAAGAGTGGAATGAAAAGAATCGTGGGTCACATGGGTGAGTAAAAGAAAAAAAATAAAGAAAGGAAAAGAGAGGGGACAAAAGTTGGTGTCTGGGTGTCATGATATTGGAGAATGAAAAAAAAGGTATATAATAACTAGAAAAGTGAATGGGGTGGCCGAGAGAGAGAGTGTGTGTCTGTTGAGAGAGAGAGAGAGTATGTTTCCCTCAAAACAGTGTGTATAATAATTAGAAAACTTTGTTTTCTTTTCTCGTTTCTGGTGAGTATGTGTCCCTCAAAACAGTGTGTGTGTAGCTCAATTTGTGAGTCTCAAGCTTTGTGTGTGAGTATGGCAGTGTATGGAGGGTGGGAGGAGGATGGCGCATGTCTCTTAAAATGAGTGTGTGTATGGCCCTCTCCCTCCCTAACCCGAGAGAGAGAGAGTGAGGTGGCAGTGTGTGTGTTTGCAAGTTCCAACTTCTGCAATGCTCTGTAAGGCAGGTTTCCATTGCCCCCCACCACCACCGACATGATGCCTACTGATGCTGCTCCCACCACTGCGGCTTCCTAGTTGATGAATCTGCTTCTCCATCTGAACGGAAGGGCAGCCCTCTGGTTTCGGATTTGAGCTTTCAGCATCTAAAGAAGCATCAAACTCGGTTAATGGAAGATGGGAGGAACTGAAGCTTCCCCATTGCATGTTAATCACCACGGGAAGTGAGGTAGAGAGAGAGAGCTCTGACATGTCGACAATGGAGAAGCTCAGAACTGGGTCTCCGATGATGGGTTTCTCAGAGCTGGGGATTGCGTGGTGATGCGACCATCGGACAACAATACAGCCCCATACGTGGCGCTTGCGGAGAAGATTGAGGCGGATAATCGGAGCAATATCAAGGTTAGGGTGCGGTGGTACTACCGGCCGGAGGAGTCGATGGGTGGTCGGAGACAGTTCCATGGAGCGAAAAAGTTGTTCTTGTCGGACCATTATGATATTCAGAGTGCTTACACCATTGAAGGCAAGAACTATACTAAGCTTCAAAAATGTTGGGACTGAAGATTACTATTGCCGATTTGAGTACAAAGCCGCCACGGGTGCATCCACACCTGACTGTGTTGCAGGGTATTGCAAATATGAAAGGCCATATAACCCAGATGATTTGATGGTACAGTGTGAGGGGTGCAAGGACTGGTATCATCCTACTTGTGTGAACATGACCATTGAACAAACAAAAAAAAAAAAATGTTAGATCACTTCATGTGTTCTGATTGAAACGCCGATTCCGACGTCAGAGACCGATCACAATCCAACATGACCGAACCAGAACAACCCGACGTCCGAACAGGTAGAGCAGGCTCCAGTGGCCGTGACTTCTGGAACTTCGGCAGTGGTGGTGGTAAGGAAGGAGAAGAGTGAAGGTATGTGTAGAAAATTTTAGCGGACTAGGTTGAGGTCCGACGGGCGGCCAAGGCGAGGTTGCCGCCCACCGGTGAAGCGAAAAATACTAAGTTCTTAACCTTACTCTGATACCATGTAAAATAAATTGATAGAGAGATGTAAAATAAATTGATAGTATTATTGATTGATGTATATTGATTGATGTGTATATATTTTGTACAAGAATTCCTATTATATAGGAGATGATTTGGGAGTAGGTGAGGAGTGAGTAGGTGGAGTGGGTGAGTGTGTTGTTAAAATGTAAACGGGAACAAGTAATTTGGTCACAAGCAATTGAAAATATGCATATGCGTAAAGACTAGTATCATATAATTCAATAATGTGACTAAAGGACACATATTAACAGTGTTCAGAAAATTTATCAATTAATTATGAAGCTTACCATATAGTCTGGTGCTCACAACAAAGAAGCCCCATAGATGATTAGCAAAGCCAAGTGCCATGAGAATGGTGAAATGGAAAAATTAGTGAAACATAATATTTTGTTAGTCTTGCAACTGGTGGTCATGGTCTACATTTATAATGTAACCATAGCCGTAGGTCTTGTTAAAACAATCTTAACTGATGATGCTAGCCGAAGGGTTGAGGCACAAACTCTATGAGACTATAAGTTGACTGATTTGTTTTCTCCGTGTAGTAGGTTGGTTTGCTATGTTTTCACTTTTGTGCGGCTGGCTGCATTATTAATGGTATGTTAGAATTTTCAATCATAGTTCAAGCTAGTACTACCAAACCAAATATGCGTGAGACCAGTGACGGTTCAAGCAACTTTTAGAGTTCAAAATCATCACTAAAGTGAAGTTTGAACTCCATAGAGATGTAGCCACAAGATAAAGAAAAGATACAAAAGAAAGGATAACATGAAATTAATATAAAAATTCAGAACAATCTTATCTTATGATTAATAGTAATAGATTGCTTTTAGAATCAACGATTCTCAACCCTAGTAATAAAAGAGACTCCATTTAACAAGTTTCATCACCGTATAACCATAACTTTGTTTTGTTAATTGATCAATTATAGAATTGAGACACAACTTACACACAGTATCAATATCGTTCTAAATGGAGTTTTTCTCGTAGGCTCCTTGATTTTTCTTATAAGTTTCTGTCAACATTTTATCTAATTTATGAGAAGTGTAAGTCACTGCTGGGATTTGAAAACTAAAACTGGTTATCCAAAACAAGAGGCAGTTCAAAAGTGTTAATCTGGCTTCTTGTATTCTGGGAAATTGCACATTCAATTGTGCACCAATCATATAGTGTAAATTACAAATGAGACAATTAATTTTCATACTCCCAAACAGAGGAGAGATGGAAACAGAACCTGGAAACAACAAAGTAGACAGAATCAGGCTTAGCTTGGATGGCAGTTTTGGTAAATCCGAGCTTATCAGCAGGCCAAAGCTCATCTCCAAAGAAGCTGCTAGTGTAGAGTACTTGGTCCCCAGCCTTAAGCCCTGCTTTTGCAGCATTCCCACCACCCTCTACTGCCTAAAATCAACAAAGAATACCCTCAAATTGAGAGACAACTAACCAATGAAGAGACCCAGATTCTAGTTCTATTCAAGAGACTATAAAAAGTAACAAAAATTGCAGATTGAAATGAAAGGGAAAGAAGTAAAAGAATGAAGCTCACAGTGATGGTGACACCACCACCAGGTTTTTGACCCAAAGTGAGGCCTAGTGGTTTGTCAACTTCAGCCTCAATGTTTTTAGGAGCCCTGGCGGTTCTTGCTGTGATCTCAAGACCTCTTCTTGTAATGTTGAAGCTGCTCTTGCTCTTGTTAGCTATGAAGGAATTGAAGAGACCCTTTTTGGCATCTTGAATAGAAAGCCCTTGAAAGGAGGTTCTCTGTCCAGAAATAGAGAAGGGCAATGAAAATGGAGTGAAATTGGGTTGTGGGAATGAAGACAAGAAAAGTAAGTTTTGGGTTTGGTAGGCATACCTGGGAGTGAGGAGTAGGAAGAGGAGGAGTAGTAGTTTTGATGGAATGATTCCTTGTAAAAGCAGCAGAGCAAGATGAGGAGGCACCTGCAGCAACCACAGCTGATGACATGTTTGATGATATACACAAAAACACTAACACAAACACAATCAATCAAGAGAGAGAGAGTGTGTGTGTGTGGAAGAAGTGTGGATTAATTGTCTTAGCATATATCCTGTGAGAGTGTTGGGTTTGTTGTTTTTTTGTGGACAGGAACGCAGCATCGGATAACGCACTGCTTGCGACAGCCACACGCCTGCTTCAGTTTGAAACATCCTCCTCAGCTACTCCTTGTTATGTACGTATGTATGTATGTATGTATGGTAAGACTTCTGTTTCTTGTTTTTATTTTTTTAACTGAAAATAAAAAAAAAAAAATTTGGTATATTTTCGTTTTAAGATAAAAATTAAAAAGTTGTTTGATTGAGTTTGATAAAAATAACACTAATTGTTTTTTCGGAAGTTGTAAAGATTATTTTTTATCCTAAGAAAAAAGGAAAAATTGGTCTAAGATCCCTCTCCCAATTTTAGTAATGGAAGAGATTCACAATATTATATTATGATGTCTAAGGAACCTCAACTTCCACACCAATATATCACAGAGAAAATTAACTCTCTCAAGTCAATCCTTATTTTTATTTTCTGTCTGTCTGAACTCTGTCTTCTTCACGGAGACAGATCTTGAGTTGCACCGTGCCATTTGGTCTGGGTGTCCAAGCTGGTAAATATGGAGATTCAGGTTACATTGTTCCAGGTCGGTGGTTCCGCCATGCATGGTAGTGGTCCAGCAGTGCTATTGATTTCTGTTCCCGCGCGAGGTGAGGCGTGGGTTTATTCCTGCACATGCTAGCTGGTTGATGGCACCGTTGGAGACGATCCTTCTTTCTAGGGTTCATCCAATCGCCAGTGGAATTCATAAATGCTTTGGTTGAATCTCAAAGTAGGGATCTGAAGCTTGTAGCAGGGGAAGCATGTCGTAGTGCCGAAAAAAGTTCAGATTTCTTCAATCAATCATGGTAAGCTCATCTGCTACTTGCAGCTGATTAAGTTTGTGATTGGTACTTTCTTATATAGGAGTCATGATTATTTATTTATTTATTTTGTGTGGATTAAATAGGGTTGAAGATGCTGTTATTCATTATCTGAATCACAAGCCAGTTACAGATGGTCCTGGAGGTACATGAACTAGGGATCATGGAGATAAATTCAGAATTTCTCTGGAGATAAATTCCGAAGTCAGAGAAATTTGATTAAAACACATTCCGAAGTCAGAGAAATTCCGAAGTTAGAGAAATTCAAAATTTCTCTAGAGCAAGGTCAATGGAAACAAGACAACATTTTCATTTCCATTTGAACTGCAAATGATGGTTTATGGAAGCAAAAACAAAAGAATGCATGATAAATAGAACAAAGCAAATGCTTTCAATATATACATGACTATGATATGCAAGAAGAAATATGACAACTAGTAAGAAATTTGGGAAGCAAAAAGGTCTAAGAAAGCAGATATGACACAAAACTTTAGGTGAGAAGATTGAAGAAACTAGAAAGCAGTGTTAGTTAATTATTTTACGAAGGGCTCAAGAAAGGTTATTCAGAACTGCATTGTTTCACTAATGTTTCTATAACAATTCAAGCAGGAATTCCCATGTCTGTTCGTAACATTTCCTAAATAATTCCAATCAAATTTTTTAGAAAACTCATTCCTAACCATGGACAGGTTACTAATATGTTCCAAAACACAACCCAGTGTTCAATTGATGACCAAAATAACATTTTTTTATTCAGGATAGAGAGAAATTCCGACGTGCAGAGAAAATTGTTCAAAACACAGAGAATCCAGAGAAATTCAAAATTTCTCTGGAGGGAAATTCCGAAGTCCAGAGAAATTTGGTTAAAACATAGACAGAGAATCCAGAGAAATTCAGAATTTCTCTGGAGAGAAATTCCGAAGTCCAGAGAAATTTCTCTGGAGAGAAATTCTCTGATTGAATTTTCTCTGATCGAATTTTATCTGGATCGAATTTTCTCTGAATTGATGTTGAGGGACCTTAGACATTATAAAAATATTGAGTGCCCTTTATGCTATAAAATCATAATACCAGGGACCTTAAAAAAAAAACCCCAAGAAAAAATAATGTAAAAATGATGAGTGTATTTTATTATTTTGCCAAACCAATTTTTAGTCACTACAAGAATTAACACTTTTAGCAACAAAAAAATTGGTCGCTAAAAGTCAATTTTTGGTCGGCAAAAGTTATCCGCGACCAATTTTTTTGGTCGCTACTTTGGTCGCCAATTGAGGGTCGGCAAAAGTAATTCGCGACCAAAATTGTGGTTGGTCGGCAAAAGTTGGATTTCGCGACTAAATTTTTGGTCGCTAAATATTTAATTACCGCGACTAATTTATTTTGTCGCCAAAATACTTTGGTCGCGAAAAGTGATATTTTCCCGACCAAAAAGTTTGGTCGCCAATTATCACATTCAACGACCAAAAAGTTTGGTCGCCAATGGTGACATTCCGCGACCAAAAAGTTTGGTCGCCAATGGTGACATTCCGCGACCAAAAAGTTTGGTCGCCAATGGTGACATTCCGCGACCAAAAAGTTTGGTCGCCAATGGTGACATTCCGCGACCAAAAAGTTTGGTCGCCAATGGTGACATTCCGCGACCAAAAAGTTTGGTCGCCAATGGTGACATTCCGCGACCAAAAAATTTTGGTCGCCAATCGTGACATTCCGCGACCAAAAAAGGTTTTGGTCGCCATTTGTTAATTTTCGCGACCAAAACTTTTGGTCGGCAAAAGTGAGTTTCCACGACCAAGAGCTGTTTTGGTCGGCAATAGATGTATTTTTTGCGACCAAAACTCTTGGTCGGCAATTGTTATTTTTTGCAAAAAAAAATAATTTATTTGGCACGACTACTAAATTGGTCGCCAAAGCAAGAAAACAATACACCTGTAATTCCTAATAATTCATTCAATCCATAATAAACCTATAATTTTAAAGCATCATTCAAATTAACTGAATCATTAACATTCGACACAATACATAATTCATTAACATTCGACACAATACAACTATTCTAAGTTTTCATTCACAAGTCACATCCATCTAGCATAACAAATTGAAACAATACATAATTCAGATTTACAGCATCAGGAAAATTGCTTAATCCACTAAGTTGCCTTGATAGCCAATCAAAAAGATCCTTGCGCCCTTCCGTGCCAAGCTTCGCATCCATCAAAGCAGTAGTGATGTAAGGCACCTAAAAGTGTGGCAAGACAGGTCATTTGGCCAGAGAGTACCTGCAAAAAGATCGACAAAATGGGAGTAGGACTACCAAAAGTTCAGCTGGATAGATACGAATCGGTTTGGCGGTTTAAAAGTTTACAAATTTTCAACATAATTTAATTGTGTGCGCACTTCCTAAAAAAAAAAAAACAGGGCATAATTCAAGTTTGCATAATTTAATATTCAAGTGGGATAATTCAAGCGTGCATAATTCTGGTAGTGGCATAATTCAAGTGTGCTGTGCATAATTCCAGTGGGCATTTCTTAAACAACTTGGGCAATGCAAAAATAACCATGTGATGAATTGTTGCACCGAATTCCATCCCAACAGCAGCCAGAAATCCAAAAAAAAAAACAAAAAAAGAGGAACAGCTTTCTATATCTCAGCCTCTTAACAGATTTCATTTGACCAAGAATTATTATTTCAAGGATTACCACTTCTGAATAATCAAGAACATTTGATATTTCGGTTAAAGAACTGGGACATCTAAAGCTTGCTCCCAAGTGACCCCAAAACTAGTATGCAGGCTGAAAACTTGATGCTAAATAAGACCTAAGATTTCTAGTTTCGGAAAGCAGTTAACACATAGTAGGAATGCAACTATGTATTCCAGAGGTGGGAAGGGATTCACATCCTTACATTGTGGAAATTATTCCCAGGTAAATTAGAAAACTCCAGACAGAAATGGCTTCTTATAACCCAGTCAAGGACATGCATTTAAAATCTCGCAGTGGTGAATCGAGAAGACCATAGCTAGGACCCTTCAACTCATGTTTCAGCCTATATTCAAACCCATTCCCATTTTGAGTAAGGCTTTCCTTTGTGAAACTCAGACAAGACAACAGATGCTGTGCTCTTTTGGAACCCTAAGATCAGTCACGCATGGAATCTACTGTGACATTCCAGTATGTTCAGAATTCATGTCATGTTGCTGATATGAACAATCAGGGAACTTCTGAATTTAGGCAAAGAACAGCACAGATTCTTTGTTTACGAGGTCATAGTGACACTTCATTGAGAGAAAATCAAATAGAAACAAATTTACCTGCAGCGCTTTGACAATCCCATCTATTACTTCCGGATCAATTAGAGGTTCATCCCCTTGAATATTGACGACAACATCATATTTTTCCTTGAGCTTTTGTAGTGCTTCATTGCAACGCTCAGTACCTATAAATTTGATTATCACTATTATTAGGTATTGGCAAACCCAACAAAAATGTTGAAAGTTGCAACAAAGAAAAAAAATGGTTCTCACCGTTTCGGCAAGATTCTGATGTCATTATCACATCAGCACCAAATCCTCGACAGCATTCAGCAATCTTTTCATCATCAGTTGCCACAACTACATAGAAAAGAAGCTACCAATGAAAAACCACACAAACATACCAAAAAGATGTAAAAAATCCTAAAATGATGTGTTTAACAGTTTTCATATACAATAATGTCATCATCAATGCAAAACTATTATTTATGGTTTAAACTTTACTCAAAGCAATGATCCAGATACTGAATTGAGGGAACTAGTTCATCCGAGGATGAGTATAGTAGAGCAACCAATCGTTTAGTTTGTGATCTTTAAGCACATCAAAAAGAGAGATGCAACTGTTCTGACAACGATATGATTCATGAACCTTAGCACCAAAACAAAAAGATGAAGCTCAAGTCGTACCGACATGATCCAATGTAGTTGCCATTTTTGCCCATTCCCATGTTCTCTGCATATGAACAATTAAAAAAGTGAGGAAAGTTTTTTTTTTTTTAATAAATGAAAAGAATGAGGGAAGCATTCATGATGTCATAGCCTATATCTAAACAATATTACATGATTTAATACAGCCAGAAGCCAAGACTTCAACTGCTTAAGTAGTAAGATTTGTGCATGGAAGAAAAATCAACTCTAACTTCAGAGACTAATTAAATAAAAAAATAGGTAAAAATGTAAGTAATATAATTGTTCATAAGTAATTTAAGTTAAATGATACAGAAAAATAATATAAAAAGTAAGTACAAGAGTTCAACATATCAAATCTCACTCTCCTTTGCAGCTACCTTTTGAGGTCAATGAAAACTTACATTTCTGTAACTCGGCTCTTCACTTGTGAAGATTACAAACTAGGGAATGAAGGACTACAACTAGCTTACCCATGAAAAGAAATAAATAGAAAATTCATAAGTAAAGGCCACCTGTTCGCATCCTCGTTCAATCCTTTTGGAATCATTGGATTGGATTCCTTTTCTCATTCAAAATCTCCTCCTTTCTTCCACTCAATCCTGAAGAGTAACTAGGACCAATTTGGAGAATAATCTTCTCCTTTAAGAATAATAAAAAGGAAAAATGGAAAGTATTCAATTGGAAACATGAAACGCTTTAGTCCAGTTCGAATTCCAAAATGTCTGATCACAAACCTCCTTTTAATTTCATCTCCTTCCAACACCTCAGCTTCATGATTAGAGATAGTGTTACCGAAAGACTGTCTCGTTCTCAATAACCAAAAACTAAGTACTTTCACAAGGTTATGTAAACAACATGAAATTTGAACAGTATTGATGGTCAATTCAAGCAATAGCCTTTCATTTGACAAAGTACTCACTAGATCTAGCAAACATAAACAGAACTCCAATCAAATGTCCACCAAAAAAATAACCCATCACTTGTGTGTGTAAGAGCATTTCCAATCCTTCATCAATTTTTTACATAAAATTCAAATATGACCAAAAAATGGCTAAAAGTGTGCTACAGCCATTTCATCAAATCTGTATCAAATTAATGGACAGGGAAAACTTTTCTTTTTACTAAATCAAATATGAACCAAATGTTTCACCAAATTTCTAACAGTCATATTTTTCCTCAAATTTGAAGAGATTTTAAGATTATCCTCATCACTATCCCTTGTCCTATCTTGCAATGCAGTTGGGCGCCTGTACATCAAAAAGAAAGAAAATAAATAATTATCAGGAAGTAAAACAGGCCAACAAATATTGGGAGCAGGCTACAAAAGGGGACAAACACAGAAAATACAACGCTGGTGGAGATTTTTTTAGTTTAGTAATGTGGGATATAAAAATTTTACTACTGAATCTTGCCAATAGCCATGTCCCCTTCCCTCTTATGCTACTTTTATGATAAAGTGCAATGAACCTCAAATATTTTGGATGCAAAAAGTAGCAACCAGATGGGCTGAGTTTCATCAAAGCAACAAGCATCATCCTGTACTGTGCACTGACATCCTAATCACACTATGCATTAAAACACAATCATAAGCATACCCGCAAGCCCATCTGTAGACATTTTCCACAATATTACGCTCCTGTAAAACAGTAGTTTGCCAATCATTCCATTCGCTATTTTCCTGGAAAGCACAAGTGAGATTTCATCTCAGTCGAGAGATGTGTCCTCCATTCAACAGAACAAACAAAAGTATACTTGCTCAGTTTAGCCAACATAAGAAAATTCAATCTCTCTATCATACCAATGTTAGATTCAAGATACAGGAGAACCACTTCAAGCAGGCTTTTACAAGAACCAATTGTAATGAAAAGAAGGAAATTGAGACCTTATGAAGTGAGTCATACTTAATTGACAATCAACAATAATCATTTGGATATTAATATACCCCTGTTATAGTCGCATTAGGAGGGAGTAAAAAATCAAGATGATGAACATATGAATTTTGTGATCATGTAGCTTACAGAAAATTGATGTCTTCTAGGGTCGTCAGTATCATCTAGATATGAAGATGTATCACACAATACGATCCAGATCTATGTCATTTCAATATGTATCTTTCTCACATATTGTAGGTACAACTACATTGCTAATACGGTGATCATGATCGTGATATACACTCAAATCGTGCATACACAGCAGAGTTAGGGTATTGTAGCAAACCATTTCTTTAACAATTGGCAATCCTATGTCCAAATCATCTCTTCCTCTTTATACTAGATCAACTCTCCACTACACAATCATGTTAAAAATATTTATTGTGTGGTACGATATAGAATTTGAGACAAGAGAATAGGAGAAGATCGTGTAAAACTCTTCTGTTGGCAATAGTGTCATAAGTGTGGAGGATTTACAGTTGGAGTGCTTGTATGGTACTAGCATATAAACTTGGATTAAAAATTCCACTATATTTTTTTAAAGTTAGAGTGCTTGTATGAATTTTTTCAAACCTTAACAATTACAAAAATAATGGAACAAAGAAACTCTCCAGAAAGTGGGAAACGTCATTGGCATAGTGTTTCATCACTTCAATCAATATGCAATCTAAAAGAATAAACCAGTAGGCATTCTTTGCCCAAAAACCTAACACTAGTAGGATAGCTACCATTCCATTAGTGAATAATTCATAAGTTAACTTCCTGCCAACACCTCCAATGTGAACACATGTGCTGGATATAGAGAGAGAAAGAGAGCGATACCTTTGATACCTCCGCAGCATGTAAATCAGCCAACTGGCCCTGAGACAAAATAGGAAACTTGTAAGATTGTTGGCAGTAGGACTATGCAAGTGCTTATAAAAATAAAAAATAACAAAGTGAAAAAAGGTAAGGAGCCTCACTTTGATACGGTAAGCTTCCGAAAGCTCCTCTTGGAGATTTAACTTTTCTCTAGTGCAAGCAGTTAACTTCTTTTTCAAGCTCTCAATCTCCTGCTCCAAGCTAGCTGTCCTAATGGGGGGAGGGGGGGTAAATTCACAATGTATTCTTATTTCCAATTTGAAAAGATAATGCCAACGCATACCTACCAAAAAAAATATTAATGATAACAACTTCATCTGATGGACCTGAGATAAATAATATACCTCTGAAAATGCATTCGAGTAGCCACATCAAGGTAACCAGGACCAGCTTGCTGCATACACAGCTGTTCAATGTCTTTACGTAACTCATCATGCTCTACAAAAAAGTATCAACACATCAAATTAGAATGCAGCAGCTGAGAGGGGCAAGTGAATTAACATTACAAATAGTAAGCAACTTATAAGATTCCTGTGCATTGCATTAAGTTGGTAAACTATATAGTGCAATGCAGCACATCCTGCCAATGTCTCCATCCACTCAATTAAGCACAGGATGAAGAGACAAGTTTGGCTCAAAAGAAAACAAAATGATCAGGTTCCAAAATCAATTATTGGAAAATATTTGGATTTTAGATATTTTGATTAAAATTATGAGAAGTAAAATGAATCAATAAATATTGAAATGAAAACCCTGGGAGGGCATCTAGTCTGGCTTTGGAGGCAGATTGAAGGTAGAGATTAACATAGTCAAGAAAAGACTTTATTGGAATACGTTGCCCATTAAGCTCAACCTTCACAGTCTTTCCAAGGCATCCCGCCAAGTCAATCACCCGCTTTTTCATCGAGGCAACAACATCATCTTCAAGATGAGTCATATTGAATTTTGCTAAGTCAGGCTTAAATGTAACTTTTGTCCAGTTTTCGCTCTCCTTGCATTTTGTTATGACGGGCTCAGATTTCTTTCCCATATTGTTGGAGAAAACCTTCATAGGAGTGGAAGGAACTTGCCAGTTAGCAAAGCACATGAATCATAATAAGGCTTTGTAAGGAAAACTATATGTACAAACAACAGAATATGCTACCAACTTTTTTTATAAAAAAGATTCAAATTAGAATTTACATATTAGCAGGCAAGCGAAACATGCATGGTATGACTTAAATTTGGAAGAAACCCCAATTGTCTTAGAAGGCTTTTACAGCCTTTACAAAGTTGGAAACCAGATAGCAAGTAATAAGTTCAATATTTGATGATGTTCTGCCTTTGCTATGCTTTGTCACTGGACCAAACAAAGCAATTGACGCATCTCTCAAAGGAATCCAACAGAATTCAACACAAATGAAGGTTATGTAATTATTCCTACTATATGGTTATGATGTAAACAAAAAACCTCAGTTTCAGACACATTAGAACAACATACCAATAACAGAACCCTAACAGAAACCTAAATTCCACATGAAAAACTTCAAAATCAAAAATCCAAGTGCTCTGTAGTCAAAGCCCCTAGTTTATTTCTATTGAATTGGATCGGATAAGATAATCAATAACTAGAATTTTTAAAAAATAAAATAAAATAAAATAGAATTCAATATCTTCATTGACCCAAAAGTAAAGATATGCCTGCATTGTATAGATAAACATCCAAACATCAATAATTGCAAAGCAACCCTCAAAGTATCAGGAAAACCCCAAGATCCAACAAAGAAAAATCTGAAGTAACCCTAATCAATAATCATCAGTCGCAGACAAAGATTTAAGAATTATAATTCGAAAATAAAACCCTAAATCTTGAAGTTACCAAAACCCTAGATCTGTAAATAACCTTTCTCAAATTCAACAAGCAATCCAGGGCCACATTAAAAAATCTAAAACAGCATATATATCCATTACACAAAAACACTCAAAAGCCATTAACCAATGTGTCACCTTCAATTCACACAATATAAATTAAAATATGATGTTGGCAAGGCAAGTAAGGTTTAATTTTTCTGGATTAAAAATCAAAGAGCATAATAAAGCACATGCATTTCAAACAGAAGCATGTGTTCACAAAAATACCTAGTATGGATCACAATTGTCCAAATCTGAGCCTATAAAACCAACAAATGACTAATTTGTTCCCCGTTTGCATTCTACTTCTCTCAATGTATGGATGTTTGCATCTCCACACGCAAGACAGGTTGCACATGAAGGAAGGTGTGGAAAGTTTGACATACATTGTTGGGCCAATTTCCTAACATCTTAAGCTTTTGGAAAAATTGGTGATCTGACATAGCAATATTGTTATAATGACCACATTTTTAACCATCTTATATGGTATCATTGCGTTGGTTGAAAGGGCCGCACCAGTCATGTCTGATACCAACGCAACAATGACACATGAGATGGTAAACACTTTAAGGTACACAAAAATGTGGTCATTGTGGCATTATTGCTAGGAGAGTCTTGAATTTCTAAATCTCATGCAAACACAGCCTGAAGTTTCTAAAGCTCAATCCACTGAATTAAAAAACTACAAAGATTTCTATATAAGCTGGGTTTTACCTAACATTATAAGACCCATGTACATTTGTGTTCAGCAAATCTTGAGATCACCAAAATATCATTACTCATAAAACCAAATCAAACAGTACCAGCGACATACTAAGGCCTCGTTTGGGAAGTGGCTATTTTAGTAGGCTATTTTAGTTTTAGGCTATTTTAAGTAGGCTAAAATTTTTGTGTTTGGGAAGATGATTGGATTTTTTTGTGGTTGGATGTGATGTTTGTGAGAGAAAAAGTGAAATGATTATGGGTTTGATGTGATATTTTGTCTTATTAGCTATTTTAGCCTATTTTGTCTTTTTGTGATTTTTAGCCTAAATTTGGCTATTTTTTTTCTTCCCAAACACCCCCTAAATGGAAAAATACATAATAAACATTTAACCTAAAATTTTGACTAGACAAGGTCTGAAGTATTCTCCAGTCTTTTCTTGTTATCATGGTCCACATTAGTCAATGAAGTGACATTTTCCATCTTGCCTTAATGTAGTTTTGTGGACAGACATTTAGTTGGAAAAATCAAAAAAGTTTTTCTTTATGATTTCAAAAATTATTCTCTCAAGCATATTATTACATCAGCTTGTAATATTTTAGAGAAATTTTCTAGTTAATTGGCAGTGCCCAGAGCCATGTTGCCTCCAAAATGACATCAATCACAATAAATATATTTGCAAGGAGTCAAATCTCAGACATCATACAACTTGCGTCCCAAAGATGTAGAGGTATATGAGCCATAAGCTAGATGAGAAACTACAAGCTACACAAGAAATGAGGCTACAGATGATGTTGTCATAGATCTCCACAAAAGCATAAAGATCCCTCAATCAAATCATAATAATCAAATTGTTGAAACCAAATCTCAGATAAACAGTTTTTTCTAAAACTCATGCTAAATATATTCTTGGACCAGCCAATGTGTGGCACGTAGTTTGTCAGATGGCTTTTATTAATGCTCAGCCCCAAGCTTGGTTTCACATAAAAAATCCTCCTATTAATTATATAAATTTGGGAGGAATAAGTTGCCCTTTCTCTTTTTACTGTCTAGTGCACACATCCTTTTTGGGTGAGGAAACAAGCACCAAACGTAAAACTAGTACAGCAACTTACATGCATTGTATGAGTCTTCCCACTGCTAGTCACACCGTATGCAAATACAGTACCTGCAAAATACATTGTTGACCGTAGAATGAATACATTGTTGACATTGTGGCAAATGTTACTATGGTTTAGTGATTTTCCATTATCAGTTGAACTAGCATGAGGCATCATCAGAAATTTATAGATCCCCCAAGATGATCTAGAATTAATATCAAGCATAATTCCAGCAGAAATGGATGATGTTATACAAGAAAGCACTAATGGATAGCTCTTTTCAACCAAAAAAAACAAGAAGCAGGGAGAAAAAAGGTTTTCAGAAAATGACCACAAAGACAGAGGATACTATTAAGAGATTATCCTGGTAAGGAAATATAACATAAGGGATTGGGGAATGATGAGAATGTGTTTATAAGAAAGGAAATAGAGAGGAACTGCAGTGCAGAGACCAAAAAGTCATCCAGTACACGAGCATATTTTTGCAACAAATCCTATAAGTGAGGATGTCAACATCACAAGATGAGATACTAAGGGTTGATAGGAATATGACTCATGTCCCAAGATCCATAACCTTAAAAGGGGAAGGGTGTTGAGGGACTAGTGGGGGAAAAAGTTGTTCAGAGCAACTGAAATGCAAAGAGTTTTATGTTCAATGGTCATCCCTAGCAAAAACAAGATCATCATACAACAAAAGGCTATGCCTGATGCATGCTCACATCAGATTAGATGATAGGAGGTGTGAAGAAAAGTAATTACCATTAATTCCTTGCATGGCACCATTGACAACCTGCTGAGCAGCAACATCATAAACATGACGAGTAGTTGTTGCTGGACCAAACACTCTATCTGCAGCCAAAGATATATGATATTGTTCATAGGAAATCAAGGAGAACACCAACACTAATTACTGTCATGAAGAAAAAGTTAATAAATAAAATATACGCAAAGCATTCTAGACTTTAAAAACTTATATCGATTTACCATTACCTCAATTCCACCAACAAATATCGATTTACTTGAAGCATAGAGAAGCATAGAGAGAAAGAGAGAGAGAGGGAGAGAGGTACCGGAGAGCTCCCATGGGGGTTCGAAGCAGAGAGAGAAAGAGAAGACAGCGGCGTCAATGTAGAATTTGAGGAAGCTGATGATGATGACGGTGGCTGTGGTGGTGGAAACCCTAGCCTTCGGTGACCCAATCGAAGCACAGTGTCGCGATTCATAATCGGAAACCCTACCTTGCGAGTGGGAGGATTGCGACTTAAAGACACTGAGAGAGAATGGGGGAGAGGCAGAAATCGAGGCCAGCGTCGGGAGCGAGCGCAAGAGGGAGGGTAGGAAAGAAGAACAGAGGCTATGAAGGAATTGAAGAGACCCTTTTTGGCATCTTGAATAGAAAGCCCTTGAAAGGAGGTTCTCTGTCCAGAAATAGAGAAGGGCAATGAAAATGGAGTGAAATTGGGTTGTGGGAATGAAGACAAGAAAAGTAAGTTTTGGGTTTGGTAGGCATACCTGGGAGTGAGGAGTAGGAAGAGGAGGAGTAGTAGTTTTGATGGAATGATTCCTTGTAAAAGCAGCAGAGCAAGATGAGGAGGCACCTGCAGCAACCACAGCTGATGACATGTTTGATGATATACACAAAAACACTAACACAAACACAATCAATCAAGAGAGAGAGAGTGTGTGTGTGTGTGTGGAAGAAGTGTGGATTAATTGTCTTAGCATATATCCTGTGAGAGTGTTGGGTTTGTTGTTTTTTTGTGGACAGGAACGCAGCATCGGATAACGCACTGCTTGCAACAGCCACACGCCTGCTTCAGTTTGAAACATCCTCCTCAGCCACCCCTTGTTATGTACGTATGTATGTATGTATGCCTCTGTTTGGCAAGTTAGGTTATGAGCTTTTTTTGATTATTTTAGTTACAAAAAATAAAATAAGTTATTTTAGTCACAAAAAATAAAATATTACATTCAATTCATAATCATTACATTCTTCTCTCACAAAAAAAGTAAAAAAAGTCAAAAAGTCCTTTGCAAATCAAACTTTTTAACTCAGGTTAAAATAGCTAAAAAAGTCAAAAAGTCAACCCACTTCCTAAACCAAGCCTATGTATGGTAAAACTTCTGTTTCTTGTTTTTGTTTTTTTAACTGAAAATAAAAAAAAAAAAATGGTATATTTTCGTTTTAAGATAAAAATTAAAAAGTTGTTTGATTGAGTTTGATAAAAATAACACTAATTGTTTTTTCGGAAGTTGTAAAGATTATTTTTTATCCTAAGAAATAATAATATAAAAATGATGAGTGTATTTTATTATTTTACCAAACCAATTTTTAGTTTTTAGTTTTTTTTTTTCAAAAAAAAAAAGATTTTAAAAACTAAGCCAAATTTGTTTTCAAAATAAATTTATACTCCTTTTTCTGTGATTGCCAACGGATATTCCGATCTGTCTAAATCAACTGAATTGAACTGATTTGTCACATTCTGAACGGATGTGTGATGACGAGCAGACAATTATGGATTGATTTTTTTCAATTCGCCTAGTTTTGGACGGAGGATGGATTTGAAATTACTTTGGCCACAAACGAACTTCCAAACTGCGAGCATTCTTGGTAATTTGTAAGATTTTGTGTTTTCAATTTATTTAGATATTCTGTTTATGTTTTTAATTGAAAAATAGTTTAGATATTCTGTTGTGTTTTTAATTTGAAAAACTTTTTATCAAATGACAAGAGTTGATAATTGGTATTTTTGTGTGAAAAATATGTGATTTAATTTTGTCATTTTTAAAAAAAAATTAAATAGTTTTTTAATAAAAAAAAAGTAATGAAATAGTTTCGATAATGCATGGTTTTCTCATATGTATTTATTATTGGTATTTGACAATTTACTTGATAATCTTTTGGTTATGTTAAGTTGGATTGTTATCCAAAAAAAAAAATGTTGACAAATTGTTGTATTATGTTTAAAATTTGTAAAAGTTTAAATCACCAAATCTTTTCGCATCTATCTGCCAATCCACCAATCCGCTCAATCCACATCTGTTAATTCAACGCACGGATGCAGATTGATTTTTTTTAATCCGTCAATTCGGCGGACGAATGGTGGATTGGAGGTTCTCTGACTACAACCAAACTGCGAATACCCCTAACTACCACAACCCACTTTCCGTTTGACAGTCGGTAATCTCTAACCCTTCATCGCTCATGATATTTGGTCACCTTTCAACATCCACCTTCTACCACAAGCCACCACCTTCTACGACTCATCAAACATATTTTTTTACAGAAATGACTTGGACCCCCAGTAGGGTGACCCCCAACACCCTTACTGTTTTTTGATTGGCTATATATATATATATATATTTTTTTTTTTTTCTTCTGTCTTGCTCTCATAGCCCCCTACGTGGAGGTCTGTGTTGGGGTCAACCCCCACTGGGGGCCCTAGCATTGTTAATTTTTTTATATTTGTTTTAAAAAATTACACCAAATAATACCAATAATAGTGTGTGAGAAAAAACTTGGACAGGAGTGGTTAGTTGACAATTGATAGAAAAGGGTTGATAATTTCTAAAAACACCAACGCATTGCTTTGTTACTTGAAAAACACAAAAGAAAAATAAAAATAAAAATAAAAATATAACACTTAGACTGACGTAATTAGTCGAAGGATTCTTCGATGCCTAAATCAATATCTTGCTAATACTAAACTAGAGAGTAACTGATTTTTAATGCTAGTGATTATACCTGATTTAGCATTCAAGCGTTAATAGCAGTTGGAGAAATATCTGTCACGGCACCCTATTATTTCACCCTATGTGGGATCATGTCCCATACACCTACGACATTCTAGAATGGACAAGTGTATGTTCGGGGGGAGTGAACTTGCTATGAGACGGTTTGGTATAGATTTTAGGAGATGATTATAATCTAATTTATTTTAAAAGTTTTTCTCAGATTGTTTGGTATAATTTTTATTTATAATTTATTAAGCAAAAATAATTTAAAAAATTTGAAAAAAATGATTATTTAAAAATTAATGAAGACGTATTTTTAGTTTTTACACCCTCATTATCAAATTTTAACTTAAAAAAAAAATTCTATCAAACATGGCCTTTGACGCTGTCTACCCCCTCCATAAAAGCCCAGCTGCATGTGAAGTAAATAAGCTCAGTAACACTACCACCCAATATGCTAAAATTGCATCCTTCTATCCGCTAATTATAGATTTAAATTTTAAAATTCATAATCTGTTTTTAAAATCACTCTGCTTTATTATAGTTAATACATATATATTTTTAATCTCTAATAAAATATCAAAATAAAAATGAGTAAAAGAGATTTAAAATGTGAAATATATTACAAATTAGTAATTATATATTAAAAAAATATTATATAAAATTAGTTTGTGTTATATATATAAAAAAATATTATGCTAATTAGTGTTACATATTATGCAAATACTTGATAATTAGTTAACCAAAATCGCCAAAATCAGGATTTAATTATTTGTCAATTCATCAATCCGTTATTTAATTTATAATTTTACTCTCAAACAATTTGAATCAGACCGCGCACGGTTACACTGTCATTTGTCTTGCTCGAGATTTACCTCTCCTAGACAAATTAACCGCCTTTCATTAAACATTAAATAATATCAAAATAAAAGTTAAAATTGTAATAAATATGTATATTTATATTCTTTATATATATATGAATTGAGTTTATCTCGAATTTATATTGGATACATTACATTGGTAGTTCTTGTAATTTATTTATTTATTTTTGAACCAGGAAATGCCCTAGGGCTACAACTGAGCATCAAAGCTCAAAAAAGCTAAAAGGTGGGCAGGGGGATTCCTAACCCAATCTAGAGGAAGAGAACCTTTCATCCTGCTAGTGGCAAGCCAATGAGCAACTAGATTAGCGCACCTAGGCAACCAAGAAAAGGATAGAGACCCAACGGAGCGCCACTGGTGAATATCACGAAAAATAGAAAGGCAGTTCCAGGGTGGTACCAGTTCAGAAAGACTTAGCTCAATGACCTCCTTGTTGTCACCCACGATTTGGATATTGAAGAGGCCTAGAGAATGTATGAAACTGCCAGCTAAATGTACTGCTCTGGCTTCTCTTTCCTGGGTCAACGAGGACTGTGTAAGACTAACCAAACCATCAATCATAGTACCATTTTCATCTCTAAAAATAACTGCTAGAAACTCGCATCACAATTAATCTTTAGCTTACCATGCGGGGGGTTTGGTCCAAGAATGAGCATGCTGATGTATAGCCGAAATGCGATTGACTCCAATAACTATTGTATTAATAGCATTACAAGATTCAGCACAAAGAAGAGATATGCTAAAGCGATGGTATGAGCAGGGTCCACAGGGGAGTTGTTAAACACCCATTCTCGCTTTCCAAACACACCAGCCTACCACTACTATCCTTTCTACCAAGGACTTGTGTTCCGAACAAATGGAGCTGGAATTCATGATATTAACAATCCTATGTAGAGCAGACCCCAAGTTTTCCCCATCCACTTTGTAGGTTAAATCACATCCAAACCAAACCGCCTGGGCCCAGTGTCAGTGAAATAAAAGATATTCGATTGATTCAGATGCTTGACGGCATAACGAACACTCTGGCAAGGGAGTACAACGGTGCCGGCAGATTTTCTTTGGTAGCCACTGTTGGGAAAAACTACTCACATTACATAATTTCACATTGCATATCGCAAAATTATGAGATGAACAAAACAAACCTTCAATCCCAGGAAAAATAACATGCTGAATAAAATACAGATAAAATATAAAATGGTTAAAGGAAGCAAACCGAAACCTGTGTGATACCACAGTCTCCTTAAAATAGATTCTCCGCCTCACCGTTGGGTGCTGAAGGTACGCCGGCGTCTACTTCCCAGGATATGACGGTTTTTACCAGCTACAACAGAAGCACCTTCTGATTAGCTTACCGAACGGACAACGGCAGCACTCTCTCTCAGGAAGAAAATTATAGGAGAAGTAGACTGACAGTGTATGGATGTCAAGGAAAAATTCTATATCTCTTTTCAAGGAATAGGGCCTCCTTTTATACACCATGGGGGAGAGGGGAGGAACCTCTAGCCATCAAGATTGGCAACTAATGCTAGCAAAATTGCCCAATCAATTTTGTAAAACTGATGAGCCTTAAATGTGTGAGTTATATTCACATTTATAAGGCAATTTCTTATTCAATCATTTTTCTCCAACAATCCCCCACATGAATAAAAATTGACCGAATACAGCAAACGCTCAACGTTTATCAACAAAGACTCGGAAAGAGAGAGAGCACATAGACTAACCCTGCATCAAAAAAGGTAGCTGTTGGCCTTGAACCTTTCGTAGTGAAAGCCTATCGAATTTACTGGCTGACCAGTGAACGTGATATCTTGAATTGTTCTGCCGTTTATGTAAACCGAGACAATAGACCTCACACAGGAGTTAGTCCAACCATTGTTCTTGTTCTCACTGGTGTGTCCGGTATGGCCCTAGAACACTGGCCTGGTTCTGTGAGTGTTTTTAAAGAATTCGGCCTTGGCAATTCTTAAAGAAGCGGCCCCACTTCACACTCACATAGGTGACCTAGATACGGTATTTCATTATACCACATCACTAAGGTCATTAAAAGCATTAGCTTAACTTTCCACCCCCACTGGGCATCACTGTATAAAGGAATGGGCAAGAGGACTTACCTCTTCAGTGACTCACCCGTTACACGAAGTTAGGTTGTCCCTTTAAACCTAGATCTTGGGATCTCCAGTCAACTAGGTTGGGTTTTCCGTTCCGGTAACCTTTACTAAAG